TATCTTCAGATCGTCAAATTAGGCAAATCACCCTGTACAAAGTGACTACAACAACCTCGTTAAAAAGAAAAAAACAGCAAAATAATAGGATGAGAAATGGACGATACATACTTTTTCGCCTTCATCCCAGGTGCGATGCTGGCAGCTCTGTGAAGATGCGAGTTCACCGGTGGCTTAACCAGCCGTCTAGGAGCAGGACTTCGGGGTGGTGTCCTCGGTGGCGAGCAATCGAGCAGCTGTTCAGCACTCTCTCGAAGCTCGGCGATATTGTCCAGCACCGGTCGACCGCCACTTCCTGCCGAACCTACGCTCTCCATAGGACAAGCGTACGATGCATTACTGTCGCTGTCATCCCACGAGGTCCCTGCAAAGAATCGTCGTACAATTGCAGCACAAACATTCCCGAAGAACGATTAGGGTGAGTGATTGAATCTCGAAAGTATTTTTAAACATGAACTCCTTTCGTTGCCTTTATCGTCCAACATTTTCCTTATCGTGCTTCCACGTGTTAACTCGAACAAGGTTACATAAATTATACATAGCCATTCATATTCAGCGCGTTTCTATCTGTAAGACACGAGCGTGATAGATCACTCTGTATATCCATCGAAAGCTTTGCAACACTCCAGCCATCAATTATATCTTCGTCTAAGTAACGAACGAGAAAGAGGAGAAAATTAACGTACTCTTAGTTAAACTATCCTCCCAAGAGGTAGCAGATTCCGAGGCGGCGAAGGATCTCCTTCTCGCAGGACTGCCGGGCGCGGAAGTGGTCCTCGTCATCTCGAGCGCTTCCGCGCACTTGTTTCTCGCGATGCGGCATTGTTCAAGCAGGATCTCGTTACCGAGTTTCTCCGCGAGCGCCATCATTTCCGTGAAATGCTCCGGCGGCAAGGGTGGTCTGGCCATGAGGAACTGCTGGGCCCCCCGTTCGCCGGCTAAACGAGCCTCCTGGGCCCATTCGTACGCTCGGTCCTGAAGGAGGCAACATCTCGACGTGTCCTCGAGATACTCGCGCCTATCCTCCAACCGGGAACCGAATCCTCGAAGGTGCTGCTTCAAGGATCTCGCGAGTTCGCGTAGTCCACTCGCACTCGCCGCCTCGGCAAGGTCGCTTCCTTTGTCGAGATGTCTCTGTAACAGTAAGACGTGAGCATGGTGAGATTGTCGTGATTGATGACTGAAAATAGAAAGATTGATAATGATTTTCAAGCTCGAACTACGAATCTCGCGAGAGATCGTGTTACGCGATAGGGGAAAAAACGTTTGGGCACATTATTCAAAGTAGATACACACGTACGTCCCGGTAGATTGATCACCATAAAACAAACAGAGACAATATTACAACCGTATGACGTATACACGCGATTGTATAGGAGAGGTACAGTTTCTTCTCGGATTCGATTTCCCTCTGCTAGGACGGTGTTTGCTCAGATTTGCCATGAATACAATATTGTGTGTAAACACACGGGAATATTTCATCGGTGTGGTCGTGACAAAAGGGAAGAATAAAGGCCCTACTTCTTCGCTGGAAACGATATCCTGTTCTCGACGAATCGAACTGGAACTCCCGCGGTGCAGCACGGAACCGTGCCTAATGGCGGGACCATAAATCGACATATGGGGAAAGGAACGTAGCCAACGATGAACCAGGGGAGCGCGTGCTCTTCTCTATGGAGGCGAGCTCGAGACTGTTTACACAAAACCTACTACGATCTATAGGGTGTTCACCTATAATGAACCGTATATTCACGTTCGTGAGGAAGGAAAAGTTTCCGTGCTTTATTTACAGTTCTCCTCTAATTTTACGCCGTTCTGGTAATATAGGTTTTTATCGTATACAAGATAAGCTTTATAGGATGTTAACTTTAAAATTGCAAGTAGTACAACGTTGTTTCGTTCAGGCGACAATAGAAGGTTCGGTTGAACCGGTCGATTTTCAATCCATCCCGCTGTGATAACTACCGGTATCTCCCTTGCCACGCGGGCAATATGTAGCAGGGGATCGTGGTAGCGTGAAATCCCGTTGGACACGGATCGGTAGCATCCTGAAACAAGAATGACCTCGATGGAGTGGCCGTGACGAAAGTGCATCACGTCCCACGGTACACGATACGGAGCTTATGGTGCACTCATAAACGGGGATGGATGGCTCGTACACTCATTCACCTTGTAATACAAATTCACGCCTGTGATCTCGTCGATCAACCATATTTCTTCGAACCTGCTCAACCGTAGCTCACGTATGCTCCCAATTTCCACGTGTACCGAGAAAATTCCAGATCAAATCCTTTATTCCCCAATTTTCGAAGTGGATGCATTCTTGCCATTTATCTGTGAAAAGCAGATGAACCTTTTGCAAAGGTTTCGAATTGAGGGGAAATTTAGAATCGATAGATTCTCATGTCCCCGTGAAAACCAGATGAACCTTCGATAAGTTACAAAGGTTTCCAATTGAGGGGATATTCAGAAAATTGAATTCTATCCCCTTTTTCACTGGCAGAGGTATAGTCGGTGAAAGAAATAAAGCGAGTATTTTTAATGTTTTATTAGGTCTGAATCGAAGCTAAGGCATACTTCACGCGACCCTAACTGAGGTTTAGAGTCCTTATCGTCCACTCTGTCGATGTGCTTGCGTAAACTTGGACCGATTTCAGGACCTCGCCATATTTCTTGCATCGACTGTACACTTGATCGAAGTTTCTACGTTTCGCATTTCACGGTCGACTGAAAGCGTCATCGCCAGCAGGACCCTAGGGTTAGGGTAAGAAAATACCTCCTCTGCTCTCTGTATTTGCTCTCTCTCTGCTCGGACACGTGGCCGGAGATCCCTTAGGGTCTCGAGCTGTCGGAAACTCTCCTGTAGAAACGAAGGATCGGCCATAACACGTGCGCCACTGTTGCGTTAACGACGTATGTGTGTTTGTGTAACGTTGAAGTTCGCTCCGTAGCCTAACGAGCGTCGTTAACGAACGCAGCCTATAAAATTACTCTCGTTTCAACGGTATCGATATCACTCGAATCTTATCGAACATTCAATACTACGAGGAGCGCACAGAGGGGGAGGGGAGAACCGTGTAATTCATTACGTGCCGGTAAAAGTATCCGGCGATCGCGTGTCAGATTAGTCGTAACACGTTAAGTTCCTTCTGTTTGTAAAAAATTACAAGTATGCGGAGCGGTATTATGTTTGCGGGGTAATAAAAATTAAGCGTCGCCTTATATAACGTCGCGTGTTTTTTGTCAGTGGGTATTATTTCACGAGATCTGGTTTGTTGTGTAACGGTTTAAATGTTCGACGATGTGTTTTCAATATTGCATTTTTTTTCTTCGAATCTTTTGAGGTTACGTGCACCGAAAAAAGAGGTTCCTTAAGTGAGTGTGTTGTAACTTGCGGTACCACAGGGTGTATACTTTATAAAATTTGAAAATTCCAACATCTTTCCTCTTATTGAAATTTAATCTTACGAATTTTTAAGCGTACTCGATTAATTTGAGGTTAGGTAGAATGAAAAATGAAATTCCGCAGGTTATCAACATAAATGAGTGTGTTGCAACTTATGGTAGACACTGCAGGGTGTTACATTTATAAAATTTTCAAATTCCAACATCTTTTGTACCGATTCCAAAGCGTACTCGATAAATTTGAGGTTAGGTAGAATAGAAAATGAAATTCCGCAGGTTATCAACATAAATGAGTGTGTTGCAACTTATGGTAGACACTGCAGGGTGTTACATTTATAAAATTTTCAAATTCCAACATCTCTTTTCCTAAATTCAAAGCGTATTCGATAAATTTGAGGTTAGGTAGAATGAAAAATGAAATTCCGCGAATTATCAACATAAATGACTGTACTGCAACTTATGGTAGACACTGCACGGTGTTACATTAATAAAATTTTCAAATCCCACAATCTTCCTCGCGTATTACAGTTTAATCTTACTAATTCCAAAGCGTGCTCGATAAATTTCAAACCCGCCGTTTCCTCCTCGCCTCCAATTCGTCGTGACGAGGCAATCGTTAATAAAAATTAATGTACCAATGCTACCAGGACGCTTGACGAACTTTCAATTAGGATATTGAACTTTTTTTTCCTAAGCGTATCCGCCCGGTCGATCTCGAATGGCTGGCGCGATGCGTGAAATATTGCCAGGGGAGATCTCTCTGTTAGGTTCAATCAATAAAATCATGTGGATGCGGGGCTTGATTCCCTCGCGACCCTGTCTACCACGGGTTAGGTAGAGCATTTCGACGTTTCGTCGTCGACTTCGATTCGAGTGGAAACTTGCCCGCATCCTTACGAAATCGCCTGGCCCGCATTCGATCGTATGGAAAAATTACTATCGCGACCCCGTTAGAGAAATCATTCGCCGGGCCTGGTGTAAGAAACGCCGCGAAAGTATGTGCGTGCATACCTTATTTCACCGCATTTCCATATTTACAGGCGCGTTACAGGCGAGCGCCGGCACGAATCGTTTAATTAATTTACCGGGAACACGATAACACTCTGCATGAATTTTCTCGAGCCACGTAACGAAGGGCTCTCGTAATAAACCAGACCTTTGCACTCTAATTATTCAACCTCTTCAGGGACGATTTTTTTAAAGTTAGAAAAAATTATTATATTTTATTCAAAAAAAAAAAAATAACGAGATTGGGAGATTAGACAATGAAAAGGTATTCGCTACGAATCTCGTATTTTTTCTATCACGAATATTGGAATTTTGAAAAAAATTAAACGTGCCGATGAAGTTGATGTAAATTATTTCTTAATTATTCGAGATAAATTCTTCGAAGTTTGCTGAATGAAAGACACTTTTTCACATTCGTCCAATAATTGGAAAACGAAAGAAATCAGCTTGCTAATAACACTCGCACCGTAAGTTTCGCAATCGATACGCATTAACTTTCCCGCTTCTTCCAACTGTTCCTCCCACGGGCAAGAAGCATAATCGAATATTACGATTAGCCACGCTTCTTGCACGCGGAACGGCGCAAAACTCACGTCTCTCCCCATTAAACAAACACACAAGTTGCATAATCGAGCGACCAAAGGTCCATCATCGTCTGGACTGGACAGTTTGTATTTGGAACGCTTCACGATACGCGCGTTCTCTGCAATTACGATCCATCGATCGTCATCGGTGGATCGTGACGCGACAAATATCCGTGGTTGCGTAACGATCAGAGTGGACGCAACAAGAAAATCACGATACAGACACAGGGGGGGAGAGAGAGAGAGAGCTGTGTAGCAGCAGCAGGCCAGGTCGCGGCTGCTTATTACGGCGGAATGTAGAAAGGCGCCTCTCGCGGTGCATAATTGCCGGAGCGTGAAAGCAGATTAGCGAAAAACGTGACTAACCGCGTGCGCGGGCCTCGCCAACATCGAACAGCGAACGGTGTGCGGTCATTAATCGGCACGTATCGACGATTAACACGCTAAATCGTCAATTAACGCGACCCACAGTCGTATATACGCGACGATCCTCGACGAGCGTAGAAACGGTCACGGTATCGGCGTAAGAGGATTACACTTTCTAATCGGACTGAATGGTTCAAATGTGTGCATCTAAGTGTTTGTCTAGCGAGCTCTAATGGGTCTCGACTGGAAATGGATTTATGTAGGTTTATAGCGTCTAGCTTGAACCCTTTCGTTGCGGCAGACTTTAGCACGTAACGCGCGTGACAGACGATTCAATCGTGCCCGCAGAATCTTTCGTTTCGGCGTCTTAAATTCTTCGAAAATTTTAAACTGTCATTTCTAAATTTCCTTTATTACATTAACACGTTCGTCGCCCAGCGTGAATCGGTCGAGTTTCTCGGAGCGCAAGAACGTAAACAGAGCGATTAGCTGAAACTTGCGTTCTATGTTACCAGAAGGAGACAAATTCTTGAACGCCAGGAAGCGAGAAAAAATGTAAAAAAGACCAACATATTGTCCCAATTGTCCAAAATCACCACAAATGTGTTCCAACTGTTTTAACGAATACCATGCTACGTAGTATAATGTTATATTTTATTTGAAATATAAATTAATGTATAGTATAATAGTGTGTATATTTTTAATATTTTTATTTTGTATATTTTATATTTGCCGGTGCTTATTCCATTAAATTCTTGTGTTACAAATGGG